GATCCTTCACCACTGCTAAATAGTGATCTCTGGCCACTGTTACTTAGAAAGAATGGATAACGCTGCCTTCTCCCAGGTATGTCATAGATATTTCATAGAATCATAGAGTTGGAAGGGGCAGTCCCTTCCAATCATCTAGTCCAACCCTCTGCAATGCAATAATATGCAGCTGTCTCTTATGGGGATCGAACCTGCAACCTTGACTTTGTCAGCACCAGGCTCTAACCAACTGAGCTATCCAGCTTCTGACTGAGTCTTCATTGGCAAGTGGGCTGTGGGGACAGATGGATCTATATCCATCTAGCTATCACAACATTTGTAGCCTGATCTTCCCTCTAAGGAACTCAGGATGGCTTCTCCCCACCCCCCCTTTTTTTTAGTGCTTCACATTTTTCAGGTGTTTTCAAAGGGTTGGCTTAAAACCAGGAATCACATAATGTAGGGAATGGGTATGTTAAAAAGGGCTAGAAAAGTCGGTGAGGATTTTTGACCTTTCAGGGTCAAGAAGCCTATGATGAGTTGCCATTATGGCAGGACTACTAAATTGATATCCAAGTTCTTTGGCAAGGACCACCTTGGTAGATCTTATTTTGAGCCAGGTTTCACTAAAGTTTAGCCACGGAGTCTGTTTTCAACCCTGAAATATGTGGTCGTAATTAGATGAGTGCCTCTGAGCGTATACAGAGTACCTTCTGCTTCACAATGAGTAATTCCTATTAGTTCCCATGCATGTGGAAACAAGAGGGGTAGGATTGCCAGACAGACTTCACAGCTCCACCTGGTCACTTAAAAACTCCCAACCCAATCAAGCCTTGCATCCTCGTGAAGAAGGATTAACTTGCCAAATCTTGTTGGGTTTTCACTTTCCCACCATGGGCCCGGCTGCTCTGACACTCTGAAACTCATTCATTACTTGAATCAGCCTGGGAATGACCATATGCTAGTTAACGTAATCTGCCTGAAATCCTGATGCAACTGGAGTGTTATTTCTGCAGACTGTATTTGTGTCTATCAGTTCTAAAGAAGGAAAGGGTCCTTTTTTCTGCTATAGCAATCCTGTAGTTCTATATTGTGTATTACAGGGTCCCTGCCCACGCCTGGTTTTTTGCAGACCTTCTCTGTTCTCATGTAACTTCTGCATGATCCAGGTAGTAAACAGAGGACTAGATCACTCATGGATGCACATCACTCAAGAAGGACTCTACTCAATTAGACCAGAGCTCTCTATCTCAGCATTCTGTTTCCAGCCCTGGCTAACCAGATATTTCCAGGAAACCCATAAGCAGGAGATGATGGCAAGAGTCCTCCCTCATTGTTTCCCATCAGCACTTGCTCTTTAGGAATATATTGCCTCTGAACATGGAGGCTCTACTTAGTTATCATGGCTAAGCAACTGATGGACCTATCCTCCTTGAATGTGTCTAGTTCTCTTTTTACTTGCTGCCTTATCACCTGACGACTCGGTACTTCCCATAGTTTTTCCCTCCTGAGTGGAAATGCTGCAGGGGGGCAGACAGGAAAATGGTTGGAGGGCAATGGGTTAAGCTCACACACACACGCATTTCTCCCATGGCCTTTCTTCACTTCCAACCAGAGTCTTTCAGAGCTGCTTTTTGGTGTTGATGGTGATGGAAACCACTGCAAAACTTCTACCAGCTTGATCACAGGAGTCTGGACATCTGTAGCATCAAGACTAGATTATTGTAAAGCAGTCCATATGTGACTTCCCTTATAGTTGCTCCAGAACTTGTTGTTAGCACAGAATGATACAGCATGGTTGCTTTTAGGATTGAGATCCTGCCAGCATAGTACATATTTGCTTAAAGATCCACAGTGGCTGCTGATTTGCTACTGAGCCAAGTTCAAGGTTTTTTTCTATTAGTATATGAAGCCCTTAACAGCTTGGAACCAGTTTGTTTGAGGGATTGCCTTGTCCCATGTGTGCCTGTCTGACCTCCCTCATTCTGCGCAACGTGGGCTTTTGTAAGTGCTGTTTGTTCTGCATTTCCAAGAAGTTCATCTTTTCAGTGTGGCAGCACACCTGTGCTTTGGGACTCCCTTGCCTAATAACATTTGGCAGCCATCCTCATTAAGCTGATTCAAAACTTTAATTTCAGCAAGCCTATCTGGACAGAAAATTTCTTGTTCTCAAATTCTCCTGATTTTATTTGCATACCATTATACAAATACTAGTAGAATGCTGATTATTTCACTGTTTGATTCAGATCGCTTAGAGATTTTGTGGATTAAGTGGTTTATAACACTGTCACTGAAGCAGGTATAAATAACTGCTGCTGTCAGGTAGTAGATGGATCTAGGTACAAGGAATGCAACAGCATTTTATTTATTGCTTAAAGAAGTCAGTTAGTGCCTGTTTGTCTTGTGTGGACAAACTTTGCTGCTGAAATCTGCTACATCTCTAGATCTGAAGAGTCCCTTTAGGAAGTACTCACTAGGTATGGGATACCAAGGTGGTGGTCTTCGAGACGTTTAGGACTATTACTCCAGGTCCCATCACCCCAAGCCAGCATGACCAATGGTCAGGGATGATGGTAGTCCACAGCTGCTGGAGAGCACCACAATGGCTGTCCCTCACCCAGGTGAAGGTATCAGACCAGGCATTTCTGTAGTATGCACACTGCTGCCTAATTGTGCATTAGTACATGCAGTTGGGCATTAGATTTGAATGGGCACATTCAGAAGGGCTGAAACTGCATTACAAGAGCATCGCTCAGCATATAAATTTAGCATCCCAGTGGGTGCAGTGGTGATGCACACACAGGGGTGCCAACTTGAATAAAATATTTTGGGGAGCCAATGGCATCAACTGGGGCAGGGCCGCACACACCATTTGAATGGCAATGCCCATCAACTGGGGGTGGGGGAGGCTCAAAGATTTTATTAGGGAGGTGAAGGAACTTTGGCCCCAGGAGCACACATGCACAACACAATTCTGACCTCCTTGGGGAAGCAGGAGGGTGATCTTCTGAAATGGGGAGCTCCCTGTGATCATGAAGGCTCCCTGCACTATTTTGAAGTGGGATGGGGGCAGAGCTACTGCGCTTCTTCCCATGCACCCCCTCCCATCATGTTTTAACACAGCAATACAACACCCAAAGAGGGTTAGTAAGTTTTTGGATTCTGAGCATCGCCTCAAAGCCAGATCTACTTTTTGGTAGAAATAGCTTGGTGTGAACGCTGCCTGTTCAAACTGGGACATCGGTTGAGTCTTTAGAGCAGCCTTGTACTGTTTGGCAACAAGGGAGATGAGTGTGTGGTGAATGTTCTACAGGTGAACATGTTGAACACTTGATAAGTGTGGTTACTGACCTCCATCTCTACCTTTATGATTCCATCTTGATTGCTTTACCTTAAGGCAACCTGTTTATCTGAGGATCTCCCAGTGTTGTGCAAACAACCAGTTCAAGCCCTCCCTAGCTTTAAGGGAGGTTGTGTGGGGGAGCGATATAAAATATAATCTACTCAAGATAAAAATAAAGTCAGCTGCGAGGTGAGGTTGTGTAATTCTTCCCAAGATGCTGTGCCCTAGAAATATGGTGCAATATCACAATGATCAGAGTAATTTAGCTGCTGAAACGGATTAGTGAGGGCAATGATGATGGATTGCCTGCCACCCAAAACCTTTCATTCTATAGCAGAGAATTGACCCCCATTGTAAGAGAATCTTCCCCTGGGCTTCCTTTGGTGCTGTGCTCCGGGCTGTAGTAAATATGTCAGAAATGTACCCAGTTGATCTAATACATTTGCATTTATTGTAATAACTCTTGGATAGAAATTGTGTGTGCGTGTTTTCCTCATGTTCCACATTCTGCGGAGATTGCAGCTGCACATTTTCAGAATAAAAAAAAAGGGTAACTTGAAACTATCTTTGCTTGCCAGAGCAGTGTCCTGTGGTATCCGACATATCTCAAAACGTGTGTCATGTTCAATCATGGTGGGTGTGTTTACCACTGAATGTTACTTGCAGAACCCAAGGGGCAGCATAATTCTGAGGCTGGTGGGGCAGATGAGACTGTTCACCCACTCACTAGTCCCATTGCTCTGTCCTTCAGTGGCATCTGCTTAGGCACCCCACTCTAACCTGGGGTGTTTATATTTGTTTGGGTATTAAAGGATAATTGGGTGGGAGCAGCCATTGTGCATCAGACAAATTCCACCAAGCCCGACATCCTATGCAGCTCTTGATGTTACATCAGGAGTAAGGACTGAATGCTGTTTCCTGTGTACCAGTTCAAGGTCTATGTAGATGATCTGATTTCTCTCTTTGCATTAAACCTCCAGAGACTTCCAGGTGTTGTTCGACTCTCAGCTCCCACCAGCCCTAGCCAGCACTGTTGATGGAAGTTGTAGTCCTTCAACATCAGGGGCAGGGGTTGAGGTGCGCAGGCTCCCCATCTCTGTACGAAACATAAGCGAAAGTGGCCGCCATGTTGTATTTGAATAATAAACAAGTGATCTAATGAACGTGCATGGCTGCTGTCACACCACTGATGATTGAATATCTTGGACAGCTCTTGCAGAATTTGGAACATTGAGACCAGTTAGTTTTAAGAGGGGAAGGTTCTAGGACCTCATAGCAGTAACAGGGAAGAATATTTTTTTAAAAAAACCAAAGGTATGTGTGGTGCTTCTGCTAAAGTCCTTGAAGATACAGGAGAACTAGTGCTGTGTGTAATGTTTGGAGGATTAGATTTCTGAGCACAGTTGCCACCACTCCTGGTTCCTCTCCTTTATCCTCATTGAATCTTCTGTGTACTTGTTTCACGAAGCCCAGCTTTCCATTTTGTCTCCGATCTTGGATTTTTCTTTGTCTTAGTAGTTAGTCAGAGTAGCAGAGAAAGTGTGTGCATGTGTACGCATACACAGCACACACATATGAACAGAAAATAAGCAAATTGGAATTCAGGATTTGGTTGGGCACAAAATTCCAAAGAGTCAACAGCCTTTTTGAAAACAGATTCTGTCCTTCATCTTCACAGGTATCTGAACAACTGCTCAAGCGTTGGCTGCAAACAATCTGGATCTGCAGACCTGAAGCCTCGAAGGATACCTCTTACCTGCGATGGGCCTGGTATTCATCTAGGAAGAACTGGAGATTGCTTGGGACACCCCGGGCTTAGCGAAATATAGCCCCCTGGGTTGCCTGGACCTTTTAACAAACAATTAATTTCTCATTCCTGACTTCTACAAACAGCTGGGATCCAGTCCCCAAGTGCTGAATTACCATCCATTTAATTGACTGAATATTCTTTAACAAGGCCTCATCTCCTCTCCATTCCCTTGTAAAGAAGTGCAACTCCCAGTAGCATTTATCATCATTAACAGAGACTTTTTTATGTACTGTGAGATTTCTGAATATATTTCATTTGTTTGGCTTGCTCCCCCGCCCCCCACTTCTCTGGTGGAGTTTATCTTGACTAGTTATCGCACACACACGCACACACACGGAGCACTCCGATGGCTTCATAAATCAGAGGAGCAGCTGCCCTTATTCATGATGGGGCGAGAGCAGGAGCTGATCCAGGCTGTGAAAAACGGGGATGTACCTGGTGTGCAGAAATTGGTGGCAAAGGTCAAGGCATCCAAAAGCAGTGAGTATCTCCCTATGTCTTATTTCAGCATTCTCCCATGATTGGTCAGCACCCACCAGTGAGATCATAAGAGTCTTGTGACTGTTGGCAAAGAGCTTTTGGTTACTGCAGCAAAAGGATATGCTGTGGCTGGTGGTTGCTTCCAGGCCAAAGGTTGAAAGTAGCAGGCTAGTCTACAATGGGCGAACAGCACCTCTGGAGCATGGGCCACATGTGCACCACCAGTCATCAGATGCTGGATCTCTCTAGCCCATGCATGCCCGCTGTCCCTTCCTTCTGTGATGTGCTGAGAAAGAGACTTTATTTTTGGGGTGTTTCTTCATAGAAACCCAGCAAGCTGGCCATGGAGAAAAGAGAGCAGTCTCTTTCTCTGTGGGCAGCTAGTTGTGTTTCCATGCTACACACTGAGAACAGTCTCTTTCTCAGCACACAGAGCCAATGAGCTGTTCATAGAAGAAGAGATCCCTCTTTCTGCCAGGGCTTCGCTCCTGTGCTGGTTCCTGTGAATTCTGGATTCCGGCTAATATGAAGACTACAACCACTTCTCTCCACCCCTCCCATGGGAATGCAGACATCCAGTGGAACAAAGCTTCCCTGCCCCTCACCTAGAACAAAAGGCGCCTTCGTGCATTACATGGGACACAGGTATAAGGTGTCTTTACACAAGTGGAAGACTTGCTGACATGTGCAGCTCATCTGTTGCATCCCTAGTTTGTACACTCATTGAATGTACCATGTGAAGACCCCTAATCAGAGCGTTCAGTGGGTGGGTTCCATGAATCCTAGGTCTTAACACAACCACAGGAGGCAACTGTTGCAGGAGCGGGGAACTTTTCTTGCTCTAATTTTATATAACTCCATAGGAGGAGGAACCATAAAATACAGCATGGGCAGGATCTGAGTGTAGAGGTTTGGGGATGTGGATCCAGTTGCTATTGCAGTGGGGTGTGTGGACTGAGTTGCAGACTCGGCTCATGTTGCTTCTGATAGCTAATCTGCAATAAAAGGAGACCTTGTCATCATGGTTGGCCTTGTTTCCGCAACACTTTGCTTTTCTTGGTCCCAACTACTTCCCAAGTGTCAGAAAGCTCAAGTGGTGCAGGAGCTGTGAGCAGACAGGATTCCACAACAATGACGAAGGATACTTTTTTTTAAAGGAAAATTAAAATAGATGCAGTGAGATATCCTTTGTGGTGAAGTGCATTCAGGTTACAGTTACTGTGGGACTTGTTGGGTTTTCTGTTTGGAGGAATGGATCAAGTTAAGAGTCACCCCCCTTCACAGGCGAGAGCAGCCTTTCTCAACCTTGCGTCCCTAGAACTTGTTGACAACTCCCATCATTCCTAGCCAGCATGGCCAGTGGTCATTGATGATGGGAGTTGTGGTTCAAGAACGTCTGGGGACCCAAGGTTGAGAAAGACTGGGTTAGAGCTTGTGGATGGAAAGTCATTGACTTAACACAGATGTCTCCTAAACCCACTGAAATCAATGGGCTTGAGTGACTCAGGCACTGCTGGATTGGCGCCAGAAACTTTTTACTTGCCATAATATTGCATAACAATGGCCAGCAAAGCCACTTATCTTGAAACCGGCACATTAAACAAGTCTTGCTTCTCTAACCTGTTGGTTCTGCCATCCTCTGTTGTGTATCCTCCTAAAGCAAGAGTGGAGGACTTGTGGACCTGTAAATGTTGCTGGACTGAAGCTTCCATTATCCTTGACAATTGGCTAGGCTGGCTGAGGCTTTTGGGAGATGGAGCCCAATTGCATCTAGAGGGCCACAGGTTCCCCAACCTTGCTCTAAAGAATAGCAGTATAAGTACAGTTGTAGCAGTCTGAATCCTTTGTACACCTGTGGAATATTCCATCTTGCAGCTTCCAGGGAGAAATCTGCTCAGGGTATGGCTGACCTCTAGGGAATAGTAGGAACCTCAACCTGTGACCAACTCTATGGGTGCTGGTGGGAGGGTAGCAGCCCCCCAACCCCAGTGAACCATAATCCCCAGATTCAGTAATTCAGGTTTTAGCAATTCTCAGGAAAGAAGCATTTGGGAAAAGTGAGTATAGGTCTTCCTTATATCACTCTGCATTGGTGATATGGCGGCTCATTCTCCCTTTGCCTGCCATCTTGGATGTGCAAAATTTTATCAGTCAGGAAACATTAGGAGTGTTGGAATCTGCCTGCTACTATTCCTTGCTCTACAGCCCAGGTCCAGGGCTTCATTTGACCCCGTCGGAGCTCTGCCTTCTCTCTCCTTCAAAAACTTTGACTGGCAACCCCCATCTAAAATGGGGGCCCTGTGTTGCTAGTTGCCTTTCCCTGTTGTGGATGGAAGGTTTGGAGACTTGATTTTCTTTAGTCCTTTCAGTGTTATACTTAGGTGGCTGACTTTGGGCTTGAATCTTGTGGAGCACTTTTCAAAACAAACCATGTTTGTTTGTTTAATCAAAAGAAACAATTTGGTAAGAGTAAGAGCAGCTTGGGTTCATGCATTCATTAATAGGAAACAGTAACTGGACGGTGGATTAAAAAAGGAAAAAACCAGGAGGAGATAAAAGCGCCTGGGTCAAGGGCTGCAAAGCTTCTTCTGATTGAGAAAAGGATGTAAGGAATTTCCCTGGTACTGGGCTTAAAGAACAGATGCTTTGGCTACCCAAAAGCTACATCTGGGGGACATTCTCAAGGCTCTGACACAAGAAGCCGGATTACATAGAAGGATACCAGTGAGGGCTAAGGCGTTGCTCAGTGGTTTTGTGGCCGATATAAGGGATTTGGGTGAGAATTTAAAAATAATCTGCCAGGAAAGAGATTGGGGCATGGGGCTGTGGGTGGCAAGAGTCTGCTAAGACGAACATGCCAGTGAACCTTCCCATAAGAATTTCTTTACACCTGCTTTGAAGAGGCTGGGAATAAAAGGGTGAAAAGACTTGTTCCAGTTTTGTCTTCCATGACATAATGCTAGGGGTCGTGTTATCCTTTTGGGGCCAATGGGCGGCACCTTTGAACTTTTGAAAAAGCACTGTGGACACCAGTCACAAAATGGCTGCCACAGGAGGAACGGCATAATGCTTAACACATCTTGGTGTGTTGGATAATAGCCACTGGCAGATACTGAGTTTAAGTGGATAAGTGTCAAATATTGGCTGTATGTAGAATTAAAAAAATTAAGGGTGAAAGAAAGTGATGCCCTTTGAAGTAAAAAGCCAGCTTGGCTGAGGCATCTCTTAAATAGCAGTATGATGGGCCTTTCCACCGAGAATGAGAGACACAAATATGTTTGGATTGTACCTACAGGCCTTTATACCTAATCACCTAAGGGCTCTTTATAGATGGATCCTGGATTAAGGGTGCCAATGGACAACCTCAGTGGTGGGTAACCTGTAGCTCTCCAGATACTTTGGGGCTAAAACTTCTCATCAGTTCTAGCCAGCATGACCAGTGGTCAGAGGCGAAGGGAGCTTCTTATCCCACAGCAACTGGAGGGCTACAGGTTCTCTGCCATGGCCTTCTGAATTTTTCCTTACCAAAAGAAGCTACAGTCGTACCTCGGGTTATATACGCTTCAGGTTACAGACTCCGCTAACCCAGAAATAGTACCTCGGGTTAAGAACTTTGCTTTAGGATGAGAACAGAAATCGTGCTTTGGCGGCGCGGCGGTAGCAGGAGGCCCCATTAGCTAAAGTGGTGCTTCAGGTTAAGAACAGTTTCAGGTTAAGAGGTTAAGAACAGTTTCAGGTTAAGAACGGACCTCTGGAACGAATTAAGTACTTAATCCAAGGTACCATTGTACTCTCCTTCTTTTGGGTGGGACAGTGCTGCAGTTCCTTCGACAGCAGGGGTGGCAGCGGCAGGTTCAGCCCCCACCCTCCCGAAAGCCTTCTGTTCCTGATCCCTTACGATTCTCACTCATCCCCAAAACGGCACATACAAAGCAGAATGTTTGCCGCATTTTGCCGCTCATTAAAGCGCCTCTTTCCATATGACAGGCTGAGATGCTGAGTTTTTTAAAATCCCTCTAAGAGTCCTTCTGCTGTCTCAGTGGATTCAGCGCTGCGTCTCTCTGATTAGCCCTCGGGGATCGCGTGTGTCTAAAAAAAGTCGCTGCACGTAACCGAGAATCGAGAGCCAGTCCCGGCAATGGGAACTTCAGGGACACGTAGTTTTAATATTCAACGGGCATTTTCTCTGGGAGAGAGAGCGTGGCTTGGAAAATGTAGCTCCGCAAATGGGTCATATCACCTATTATTGGGTGGCCCTGTGGGAACTGTGGGCAGTGGCCTATTGGGGGTGGGTGGGCAGCAGTGGACGGTTTGTTTTCATCCTGCAGCTGTGCTCTGGGACACGGAAGCAAGGGTGCTTTCCCTGGTTGAGATAATTCAACTGGAGGAAAGGGGGATTCTTCTTCAAACCTTGCACCTTCGCTGAGGAGAGAGCCCTTTTGACCCTGCCGAGTTGCCATAGGAGCTGTCACCCACAGCAGCAGCAGAAGATTCTCCCCTTTTAAAACAACAACAACAACACAAACTTCTTTCTTTCCCTCTGTCAGCGTCTGAATGCAGCGGACTTTAATTGAAATTGTTAAACGACCCGTCAAGGCTTTGGGCTTTCTCCCTGATGATCAATCACTTTTTCGGCTGGACGCGCTTATTAACAATGGGCCAGTTGGCTGGGCTGGGGTGAGCCCCGTAGCCCCAGAGGAGAAGGGAAGGAAATGGGACTCGGGCTTTAGATTCCAGGGGGAGGAGGCAGCAGCAGTCGGTGGTTATTGTCCCTCGGAAAGGACAATGTCTGGTGAGCCTTTTTGGAGGGGGGGGAGGTTTTTCTTTAATTCAGTCAGCTCATAAGAGCAGGGTCTTTCTGAAGCTTGTCAAAGGTTTCAGTTGTATTCAGGGAACACATATTCCTCTTTGCATATCCCCTAAGCGCCTCGTGAAATTTGCCTACATGTAATCGCAGGAACTTGTAAGGAAGAAGTAGTCAAATGTAACCCTTAAAAATA